AAGCTCTAAGTTGATTTTTGTCCTCTGTTTCCTGAGGTACTCAGGGAGCTCTGGACCTTGGCTCTCAGGGCTCAGGGAGGAGTAAACAAATGCGAACAGCTTGAGTGTAAATGCTCTCTGACTCCGCAGCTCTCCCTTTCCTCCACAGTGCCTCTTTTCTCCTTTCCAGGATCTATGTTTGCTGACTCACTCTCTGAGAGATGCTTCTTGAGCCATCTGCTAGAGCCCCACGCCCACACATACACATCTCTTACAAGAGGATCCCAGCAAACCAAAATAAGAGGAAGCCTTGAGCCCAATCAAAGCCACAGTGAATCAAAAGAGGACCCAGGGAAGGGTGATCAACAAAGCCCATTTATCTGGAGTTGTCTTGGTTTCATCCATGAAAGTTCTTAGAAACCACTCAGTCCTGAGAAAACCAGAGAGGATTTGGTTATCATGATGGTTAATTCTAGGTGTCAACCTGACTGAACGAAGGAATACTCAGAGAACTGGTAAAGCATTATTTTGGGGGTATGGACTGTCACAAATCTGAGCGCACTTAGAAGGAAAGTGTGCCCTCTCTGCGTGGGTACTATTTCAGCAACGGGTGGGTGGGGTGCGCAGATAGCACAGAGAGGCGAGTTGGTCTTTCCCTCTTGTAGCCAGGATCTACTCTTTTCCTTTTGCCTCTGTATATCAGAATTGCACCTCCAGTTTCCATTATACACTCCAGCAACCCCGACCCTGTATTTTCAGACTTTTTGGTTTAGACTGAGCATCCCTGTGTCTCTGCCTTGCATACAGCCTGGCTTGGTTTAGACTGAGCATCCCTGTGTCTCTGCCTTGCATACAGCCTGGCATGGGACTTTTCCCCTCTGTGATCATGTAAACAACTCTCCTAAAGAGTTACCTCGCATCTATCTTTTTTGTTTGTTTGTTTGTTTGTTTCTTCGAGAGAGGGTTTCTTTGTGTAGCTTTGGAGCCTGTCCTGGAACTTGCTGTGTAGACCAGGCTGGCCTCGAATTTACAGAGATCCACCTGTCTCTGCCTCCCTAGTGCTGGGATTAAAGGCGTGCACCACCACCACCTGGCCTCAGCCAGGTTTTTTTATAAAAATTTCCACTTCCTCCCCTCCTCCCAATACCCTCTCACTCCCCCCCTCCCTTTCCCCCTCCCTCTCCAGTCCTAAGAGCAGTCAGGGTTTCCTGCGCTGTGGGAAGTCCAAGCTCCTCCCCCCTCCCTCCAGATCTAGGAAGGTGAGCATCCAAACAGACTAGGCTCCCACAAGGCCAGATCATGCAGTAGGATCAAAACTCAGTGCCATTGTCCTTGGATTCTCAGTCAGCTCTCATTGTCAGCCACATTCAGAGAGTCTGGTTTGATCACATGCTCCATCAGTCCCAGTCCAGCTGGCCTTGGTAAGCTCCCATTAGAGCAGTCCCCTTGTATCAGTGGGTGGACGCACCCCTTGCGGTCCTGACTTCCTTGCTCATGTTCTCCCTCCTTCTGCTCCTCATTTCGACCTTGGGAGCTCAGTCCAGTGCTCCAGTGTGGGTCTCTGTCTCTATCTCCATCCATCGCTGGATGAAGGTTCTATGGTGATATGCAAGATATTCATCAGTGTGGCTATAGGATAGGGCCAGTTCAGGCACCCTCTGCTCTGCCCTCGTATCTGTCTTTATCTATCTATCTATCTATCTATCTATCTATCTATCTATCTATCTATCTATCTATCATCTACCTACCTATCTTTCATCTATCTATCTGCCTATCTATCTACCTATCTATCTTTCATCTATCTACCTTTCTATCTTATATCTCTACACTATTGTGGTAGTTTAAATGAGAATGGCCTCCCTTAGCTCATATGCTTAAATACTTGGTCCCTAGTTGAGGGAACTGTTTGGGAAGAATTAGAAAGTATGACTTTACTGGAGGAAGGGTGCCATTTGAGAGTGGGCTTGAGGTTTCAAAAGATTTGTATGCTCCCTGTCTCCTGTTTGTGACTCAAGATGTGGGCTCTCAGATGTTCCTGGCGCCACGTTTTCGGTCTGGTATCATAACTCTAACCCTCTGAAACATAAGCCCAAATTAAGAGCTTTCTCTTATAGTTGCCTTGACCACAGTGTTCTTAGCCACGGCAATGGTACAGTACCTAAGACAACTCCACTCTCCAGATTTGTCTCTTCCAGTCACCGTGGGTCAGCTAAAGCAGCGCTGTCCTCTTTACTGTTCCTCTTATTACTATGCTGCTCCGAGGGGGCTCCAACTCCTTCAACAAGTAGGGTCTCTCCTTTGCCTTGAGTGTGAAGCCTGGTGAGTGCTTGCAGTGCAGGAAAAGGTGCTGTGGCTGAGGTCACACCCTGTCTGTCTGTTGTCGTCTGTTGTCTGTTGCCGTATGACTTTCTCTTTGAGCCCTGAGCCACATGGACAAGTCGATAGTGCTGACACTGCCAAGCTGAGGTGGCACACGTGGCCACTGTATCTTTGGCCCCAGCTGGGTCCAGCTTTCCTTTCATTCCACAGTGCCAAACGTGAGTGAAGGCTTTGAATGCCACAGAGCAGCGCATGCACCTGAAGAGCTCTGCCACTGAGGTGCACAAGCAGTTCTAGCTGGTGAACTGCGAGAATCACTTGGCCAAATATATTATCAGAATCTGTGATGAAATGCTCGTGTGAGTCGCCTGAGGTTCGTTATGGCAAGAGGTAACTGAGGCAAACGTTACATTCGGCCTAAATAAAGCACTTTTAGCTGCTCTGTCCGCCATTATAAGCAGCAAGCTATCTTCCAGCAGGCGTTCTGCCAGTTCTGAACACCCCTCAGCCCTTCTGCATGGGCGAATGGTCAGGGGAGCTGAGACATCGTGTTTCTCTCCTCCCACCTTCCTCTGACACCTTGGTGTGCGTGTTGCCATGTGCTTCATGGGCTTCTGGCTATTCCCATCACGCACTCCAGTCTTTGCTGCAGGCCTCGGGCCACCATCTGCACAAAGTGAACTCTTATGCATCATCACCTCTATCTAGAGTAGTGAACAGTTGACTGCCTCTTCCCAGTTTGGCTCCATAATTTAAAACCTGATGGGTGAAATGGCGGGTTCCCCAGGGCAAAGCTGTGTCTTAGTGTCCATGGGCACTTTGGGTGGATGACACATTCTCACCACTATGGCAGTACTAAGTATCTTTCCTTCTGCGACCTTACCTTCTGATCCTTGTACTTCAGCTCTTTCAGGGTCTCTAGGAAGGACAGGTCTTCAGAGGAGTTAGCACCCATGTTAGCAAAGGAATTAAGAATAGAAAGTGGGTAAGGGGTTCCGGGTCATTGTGGAAGTTCACAGCGTTCACATCTCCCTGAATTTGCTTTCAGGTCTTCTCCTGCTGCTAAGCCTTCAAAACTTCTTGCATTGTGAGAAGGAGAAAGAAGGCACCATGTGTTGGCATGGCAGGAGGAAAATGCCAGAGAGGAGGTGCCCAGAGTCAGATATTGGGAAAATGGTCCCCAGAGGCCATGGGAGGCAAGAAGCAGAAGACGATGATGATGTAGATGTGGCCAGTTCAGGACAAAGACTTAAGTCCCCAACTTCCCAGACAACTCCCTAGACACATCTTGTTCTGAAAGTCATTATTTTCACATGTTCATCTCCCTGCCTTCTTCAAACTCTGCTGAAAATACACAGAACCACCAGAGGAAATAACCCCTGGCAGAGGTGTTAGTGAACGTCTGGATGGTGACAGTGACGGCTAACACCGACAGGTAAACAGATAGAGAAGCCCACCAAGGCTGGAATGGAAGCTGCCCCTCAGCCTGAGCCTCAGGAATGCTGGACTCCAGGAGTCCCTAGGCAGGAGGGGAGCAATAGCATCCCCGGAATGGTGAGCTGTAGAAGTGCTCAGTGGAAGACTACCTTCGCCAAAGCCGCGCTGTCTCCCACGCACCTCCCACGCGCAGACGCTGCCCTAGCCTAGCCTTGAGTGCTGCGCTGATTCCCACGGATCTCCCACACATAGACGCTGCCCCAGGCTAGCCTTTAGTGCTGCGCTGACTCCCACGGATCTCCCACGCACCTCCCACGCTCAGACGCTGCCCTAGCCTAACCTCGAGTGCTAGAACTGACATCGCGATGGCTGTCTGGGGAGAGAATGAGAAATTCCGCAGTGGAGGGCTGGTTCTTCAGGAAGGGTGGGCAGGATGGCTGCCTAGTATTCTCACATCCTGCTGTAAAACTTTTTTCTGGAGAAATCTGTTTACTGCAGATAAAGCAGCAACAGCCCAAAGAAAGAACTCCACCCAGGTCTGGCCTGGTTCCCCAGTGAATTTATTGGGGTTACTTTTAATTGGAATAACTCAGGTGGATGTATTGTTGAAGCTCACCCAAGCATAGCCAAAAGCTGCATCCCTGGAATTCCCTGTCCCAGCTTTCAGACAGCTCTACCCAAAGAATCCTCGCAATTGTCCACAGCTTATACAGCTACCTGGCAGGTCTAGGGAGACATGGTTCTCAGAGGCTTCCCGCGTCCCATGAGCCTCCCACCTCCCTCCTGGGGGAAATATATCCACCTAGAGGAAACAGTTCCTTGGTGCATGGCCACCTGCAGTGCCTGCATCTCACGCCTGACAGCAGAAATGCGCAGGCGTGTCCGGAGAAAGGGCTCTGCCATGGAAAAGCACCCTCAGAGCGGAAGAGGAAATGGCCAGCCACGGCACCAGTCTGCCCACCACTTTTGTGTTAGGATGAACAAACCGCTACAGCTCCCAGGTTTGCAAGAAGCTCTGTTCACAAAAACAGAGGTGCAAGGAAAAGGAGAGAAAACTTAAGGTAGAAGAGAACTTTGGAAGATAACCTATTTTTTAATCACTGCGGGACTTTTGCAAAAGAAAAGGCAATTGGGAATGAGAATGAGTTCTTTGAAATTAAAAATGTTGGATAGACATTAAAGTAAATAATGGAGTGGTAGTAGAATAGAATTTATGAATAAGGTAAATGTTTGTGAGTTCGCATAGTATTCAAAGAGTCAGGGAGGTGCTCACTTGGCAGCACATGCACTAAGATTGGAACAGTATAGAGATTAGCATGGCTCCTACACAAAAATGACGTGCAAATTCATGAAGCATTCCGTATTGTTTTTACATTTTTCTAAGAGTATATGTTATGGAATATTTGTTTGACTGCAAAGGTGTGTTACATTTGTCTAATTATGTAAAGATGTGTTGCTGTTTTGCCTTGCCTGCCTAAGGCTCCTGACTGATCTAAAAAGCTGAAAGGCCAAAAGCAACAGAGGAGGTATAGGCAGGACTTTCAGCAGGGAGAGTAAGTAGGAGGAGGAATTTAGACCCAAGGAAGAAAGAATAGAGATGCCAGGGAGACACCAGAGACCAGACAGACAGACCTGGAGGAAGCAGGAAAATAGGACATACAAGATTAAAGAAAGGTTAAAAAAAAAAAAACCGAGGCAAAACATAGATGAAGAGAAACAAGATATAAAAAACTAGTGAGACAACCAAAGCTAAGGCCAAGCATTCAGGATTAAAAATAAGTCTCTGCGTCTTTATTTAGGAGAAGGTTGGGGCCCAAAGAAAAAGTACAGCCCATGCTAAGTTCAGAACACTCTAGTAGAGGAGCATCTACTTAAGAATATCTGGGTAGCACAGATTGGCCTTCCAGAGGAAGGAAGGACAGAACTGTGTGGGGAGGAAAGTGTGGATATAGAAAGGGTGGGGAGGGCGAAAGTAACAAAGCACATTGTAAATGAAAAGCTAAAAAATAAATAGGCAGGGAGATTGGTAGATATGGAGGCAGAGAAAGAGATTCTTCATAACAGAAAATGTAGTGAGGGGCTGCAGGGCAGGCCTGCTTTTGCCTCACCCGGCTCCCGCACGGCTAGCTTAGTCCCAGAAATAACAACACACAAATTGTATTCATTTAAGCACTGCCTGGCCCATTATCTCTAGAGAGTTAGTTACTGACTAACTCTCATATCTTGATATTAACCCATTTCTAATAATCTCGTGGTAGCACCACGAGGTAGTGGCTTACCGGAAAAGATTCAGCATGTCTGACCTGGTGGCTGGCTCCATGGCATCTGCCTCATTGCCCTCTTCCCAGCATTCTGTTCTGTTTACCCCGCCTACCTAATTTTCTGTCCTATCAAAGGGCCAAGGCAGTTTCTTTATTGACCAATGAAAACAACACAATAGACAGATAACCCTCCTCCATCATTTCCCCTTTTTCTGTTTAAACAAAAAAGAAAGGCTTTCATTTTAACATAGTAAAATTACATATAACAAAACAGTTATCAAGCAAGAATTACAGTCATAATATTTATAACTATATCTTTATCATAATAATGGAAAACTATAACTATGACTATCCATTCTTCAACTCCATCAAAGACTCCAGAAGGATTAATAGTACCTAAGTAAACAAGAAGTAAGCAACTTCCAAAGCTCTAGAAATGACAGAGACATCTCGCTGCCTGGACAATCACCCAAAGTTTCTCTGTATCATTGGGGCACCCATCTTTGGCCTTCAGGCCCATAATATCCGGAGACATTTCCATGAAGCAGGAAATTTCAAAGGCAGTTCAGTCACTATCTGCTATATCCTGCAGAATGTCTCGCAGACTCTTTCATGAATCAAGAACCTCGAAAGATCATCTCACCTTTAGGCAAGTTCAGCAGTCCTCTCTCTGCGGGTTCTCTGTGTCCAGTTTGTACAACAGTCCAGACAAGAGCAGTTTCTTGCCCAAATGGCTAACCAACTCCATAAGGAGCCTCTTCGATGCCCATCTTCCTCTTGAAGTAGATTGGTGCTGCCAGGAGCAGACGTGTCTCATTGTCCTAAGTTATTAAAACATTAAATGCTATGTTCTGTAGTCTTTGAAAGATATGAAGAATGTCTCTCTGAAATATATCTATGCACATCTAGAAAATCAGACTAACATTACTACAAGCTTGACTATTATCGATGATTATCCATTAACAACCTATATTTTTAATTATACATTGCATTTTTAAATGAACTACACAATCAAAATCAGAAATATATACACATATAACAAAATTGACCTTAAAATCCATACCAATGCAAATTATTCATATCTATATCAAGAAAAACAACTAATAGCTACAGAAGGCATGGTGGAATTGGAAAATCTCTATTTTGCAGGCACCTTGGGATTAATTCAAGAGGCAAGGGCCTCTTAAGGATGCAGAAATGTGTTTGTAAAAATTTGATTCAAAGCATCACCAATGAATTGCTTAGAACTACTGTGATAGTTAATTGACTGTGACAGTTAATATTATCAACTTGATGTGACCTAAAATCGTAAGAGACAATTCTCTGGCATGACTGTGAGGGAATCCTGGGCAGCTAACTGAGCAGGGAAGACTTGCCCATTCTGAGCGGTGCCATTTCACAGGCTAGGTCTTACTGGATGAGAAGGTGAAAACCAGCTGAACACAAGCTTTCACATCCCTCTGGGGGTGCAATGCAGCCAGCTGCATCTGCAAGGCTAGAACAGGCCCAAACATCCTCCCTTTTCCCTCCCCATTGCTAAACCACTAGACTATATTCCTAAAGCTGCCACCAAGGTTATTTCTGTTGTTTGGCCACTTTCTTTTTATCTATCTATCTATCTGTCTATCTATCTAATTAATTAATTTTTCTTTCTCAAAAAGAAAACAATCTTTTTTCATTTTACATACCAATCCCAGTTCCCTCTCCTCCCTTCATCTCATTCTCTTCCTCCTATCCCCGCACTCCATCCCTCCTTGTCCGACTGGACTTGGTGAGCTCCCATTAGCTCAGGTAAACTGTCTCAGTGGGTGTACCCATCATGGTCTTGACCTCTTTGCTCATATTCTCACTCCTCCCACTCTTCAGCTGGACTTTGGGAGCTCAGCCCAGTGCTCTGCTGTTGGTCTCTGCCTCAGTCTCCATTAGTTGCTGGATGAAGATTCTGTGGTGATATTTAAGATACTCATCAGTCTGACTACCGGGCAAGGCCAGTTCAGGCCCCCTCTCCTCTATTGCTTAGGGTCTTAGCTGGGGTCATCCTTGTGGATTCCTGAGAATTTCTCTAGTGCCAGGTTTCTGCTTACCCTATAATGGCTCCCTCAATCAAGATATCTCTTTCCTTGTTCTCATCTCTGTCCTTTCTCCATCTCAACTATCCTGTTCCCTCAAGTTCTTCCCCCCCTCCTCTTTTCCCTTCCTCTTCCCATTCCACCCTTCCTTCTCCCCCCACCCCCATGCTCCCAATTTTGTCAGGCAGTCTTGTCCATTTCCGCTTTCCATGTAGATCTATATATGTTTTTCTTAGTGTTCACCTTGTTTCTTAGCTTCTCTAGGATCAAGAACTATAGGCTCAATATCCTTTGCTTTAGAGCTAGTATTCACTTATGAGTGAGTACATGCCATGTTCATCTTTCTGGGTCTGGGTTATTTCACTGGGGATGTTTTTTTCTAGTTACATCCATTTGCAGGCAAATTAGAGGTCTTTGTTTTTTACCTCTGAGTAAATGTGCCACATTTTCTTTATCCATTGTTTGGTTGAGAGGCATCTAGGTTGTTTCCAGTTTCTGGCTATTACAAATAATGCTGCTATGAACATAGCTGAATGTCCTTGTAGTATATTTGGCCACTGTCATACGCCTGACTCATTCCTGAGACCTATCACCAAAGTTCAACTATCAAAATATCAAGGTTCAGCAAAGAAAGTTCAGCCTAACACAGACCTCCCATTTCCCCCTTAAAAATCACTCCTGCTAAGCTATTTGCTGCTGTTTCTACCTGATTCAGATTTAGCCACCATTCTCTTTGCCTTACTTGATAAATGATCTCTTTGCGCTGAAACTGGTGTTTGGATGTGGTCTGTGGGTCTCTCCAGCCTCAGGCTCCTGCCCCCAGACTTTCCTTGTCTTGGACTGTGCCCTGGAACTGGGGGTCAAAGTTCCCATTTACGTTGCTTTTGTCAGGATATTTTATTATTGCAATGAGACAAATAACAAATACATTCACCAAGGGAACCCCAGATGATAGGCAGCTTAATCAGGTGTAAAAGTCAACATTGTTAAGTTTCAAACCTGAGACAAAGGACTGAGGTACCAATTGAACATATCAAAATGGACCTGACCTCCAGGTTCTCCCAGCATCCCTCAGTCCCTACCTGTTACAGGGTATGACTGCCATACGCCGCCCCCCCCACTCCCTCACCCCTTTACCCCCCTACCCCCGCTTCTACCCTGAACTCTCCAGTCCAGGGACTGGGCTGCCCTTCCCCCAAAGGCTTTTTCCTATATAATCCAGATATTTTGGTTACCTGCCCTTTTGTGCCTTTGGCCTCCTGGCTGCTGCACCTAGTTCTCCTCTCTCCCCTCTGCTTTCCTTTCCTCCTCTCTCCACATGGCCCAGCTCAGCCTGGTCACACCCACTCTGGACTCTCCCAGAAGTCCCTGCCTCTGACTATGTTCTCCCATGCATCTATAACAAACTTTCTCCTCCACCACACCTAGGGGCAGTCTGGCCTTTTCTTTTCTTTTTTTTTTTTACCCCAAAGGAGACACCAGACACACCCACACTGTAGGCACTTGCAGAATGAATGCCTTGTGCTTACAAACCTTCCATTGGGACAAAAGACAACAAAAGGCTGAGAATTTCATTAGGTTAGAGAAGTTAGAGAAGACAAGAGATCCACAGAAACAAGAACTAGAAATGTGGCTAGGTAGCAAAGCGCTTGGCTAACACGTACAAAGTCCTGGGTTCGATGCCCAGTGCCGAAAGAATAGAGAGAATAAAGAATGCCAGAACTGCTTGCAAAGCATCTTCCTGGATTGACTGTGAGAGAAGAAAAGTGAGCTGCACAAGACATTATTGAGATAAGTGGCAAAATTTGATTGAACCTGTAGATTAAGTGGTAGTATATAAATTTAAATGTCGCTGTTATTTGATGAATTTAAGAATTTGATATTGAAGTATTATAGTAAAGTACTCCATGTTTGAAAATTAGAAATGTTCAGAGATAGAGAAATAAAGCAAATGAGACAAGAAGAAAAGAAAAAGAAAATTAAGCTGAGTTGGTAAATTTGGGCTGAGAATATAAACCTAATAAATATACTATTCTGG